CGTCGGCGTCGTCGTGGCCGACTTTTGGACGAGTCGCGTGCTCTCGTCGAGTTCTCGAAGAGCCCGGTCCACACCGTTCGAGCGGACTTACATTGAAGTCTGGTTGAAGATTCGAGTTCCGCGCGTTCGCCGACGCCGCGAACGCGACGTCGCCGCCGGGGAGCTTCGCGGCCGCGATCGCCGGCGGCGGCTGCGTCTGGAGCAGAAACTGCCGCAGGAGCTCGGACTCGCCGAGCGCGGGGTGCGCCAAACACCGCGCGAGGAAGAGCTGCGCGGCCCGGGCGCCCTCCGCGGCGTGGCGCACGTCGCCGACCGGCGGCACGAGGCTCCCCGGCGACGTCACGGCGAGCGCGAAGGCGAGCGCCTCGAGCTGCGCGACGGTGCGCTCCGTCGCCGGCGGCGCGATGTCCCGGTTGCCGCTCCGGAGCACGGCGCAGCTCAGGGCGAAGGGGCAGGGGCCGTAGAGCAGGGGCTTGTTGTCGCTGAAGGACACGCTGATCTCCTCGACGCGCACGCCGGAGACGTCGTAGACCGCGGGGGCGTCGGCGAGGCCGAGGTACTCCATCCTGTTTGCAGCTGCGACTCTAAACGCAGCACTCCCGGGAGGAGCCCGGAGCCATTGCCACAGGCGGCAACATTCCGGAAAGCGATGCCGTCGTCGATCGACGAGCAGCGCGAGCCAAGCCCTTGAAGCGCCTCGGAATCGAGCTTCGGCCGCCTTCGGCCTCGTCAACCACTCCTGCAGCATGGTCCGACTCGTCTCCATCCTCGCGATCATCGCTACGACCTCAGCAGTCAGCCGCCGGACCGTCCTCGGCGTGCGGGGCGGCTCCCTGGACGTTTGCGCCCGCGAGACGGCCGAGCTGTGCGGCATCGACGCCCCGGAGAACCAGGTCGTCGCGGCGATCAAGGGCGCGACGTCCAAGGTCGCCAAGGCCCTCGGCGTGAGCCGCGGCGGGTCCCTGGACATCCAGGCCCGGGAACTGGCCGACCTCTGCGCGATCGCCGAACCGGAGAAGGTTGTCGTCGACGCGATCGTGGGCTCCGCGCGCGGCGCGACGTCGACGTTGAAGGCCGCGCTCGGCGTGCGCGGCGGCCACCGGCGGTACGACGCGCTGAACCTCACGGAGACGCTGCACCTGCGCGGCGGGAGCTTCGACTTCCGGGCCCGCGAGCAGGGCGAGCTCGTCGGCCTCCGGCATCCGGAGCGGGCCGTCGTGTCGACGATCAAGTCGGCCTTCGGCCGCGTCCTCGACGCGCCGCGGCTCCTCTACCGGAAGGTCCGCTCCTGATCGACCCCCCCCCCCCCCCTGTGAACATAATCGGTAGACGTTACCGGCCGCCTACCAGGGGAAGCGCGTCTTCTCGATGACCTTCTGCGTGATCGCGAGGCCCGTCGGGATCTGGTAGTAGGCGAAGAGCGCGAAGGTGAGCGCGTTGGCGCCGATGTGGCCGCTGCGGGCCCAGTCCTTGCCCTTCTGCATCTCGGGCACGAGCGCGGCGGCGAC